CGACCCCCATGGCCCAGTCATCTTCCAAAAGCCCTACCTATGAGGACATGTAGTGGATTGATAACGGGTGGTCAACTTATAACCCCCAGCTGAACTGAGTAAGTGTGGTGCTGGGTATGTGAGCCCACCTGGGGACTGTTGCCAGCAGCATAAGAAGCAGACCTGGAGAAGAAGGAAAAAAGGGTTTTGGGAGCTAAAGAGGCCACGGGGAGTGGAGAAAGGCTGTTGGAGCTGGTAGAAGCTGTAAGGAGCTGTTGGTTATTTTGGAGGAGCTCATCATGCTGGCTTTCCTGATGAACTTGACTGTTTTCATCCTGCAAGGAGCTTAGAACCTTGCTGGCACTGAAAATAGCTTCAGTTCACTTTGGGGGAGCTCTGGTGCTCACTTTGAATATTGCTTTCTGGCTCCGGAAGGGAAGATAGGGCATTGCCCATCTCCTAGAGAAGTTGCATGACCTTCCTGATGGGAACTCGGCCATCTTGATCATCGGAAGAGCTCGGGACCTCACTGTTGCTGAGGATGGCTGTGGTACCTTTCAAGGGAGCTCTGGTTCTTCTGAGCATCACTTCCTGGCTCCAGTGCAGATCCCTCAGCCTGCTAGCACAGATCCTTCATCCTGCTGGCACAGACTTCCTAGATTCCACCACCGACCTTTGGACCTTCCCAGCACAGATCCATGAAACAGGCCTGCATGAGGTATTATTATGGGCTCTAGGCCTCTAGCTGGACTCGTGGGAGGCATTGATATGAGCTGCAGGTCTTAAGCTGGACTCATGTAGGACATTTCCTTGAGATCTAGGCCCTTGGCTAGTTTCCTTGGTCTTAGTGTGTGGACAGATTTCCTGCACGGTCTTGTATATCGTTCTTTGGGTGACTATTATAAATAATCTTACAAAATATGTGTCCTGTATTATATTGTGGTCCCTTGCAAAAATATGCCCCAAACCAGCACAGCACATGAGGCCTTGGGGGACATCCAGATATAAACCATAACACACACATGCGTGCATAGACACACACACACACATACATACACACACATCTATACAGCCATCCTTTTATTTGTGATCCTAAATTGTCATAGGAACATAGTAAAATGTAGATGCCCTAAAAACATGAGGGCAAGGACAGGTTCGCCTGGAGATGGAATTCCTCCTCCCACGACAGTACTCCCAGGGCACAAGAATAAGCCCTGCAGATGCACAGGTGACATGGCATTGCCAGCTTTCTAAGCCGTCTTGGCTGTCGCACTGCACACTGCAAAGCTGCTTTTGCTTCAAAGGAAAAAATGAGTTTACCTGGTGCTCAATGGGGCAGGAGAATTATACTATGGAAAAAAATTGTAAAATACATTTTATTTTTCTTAGTACTTGCTTGCAGTACATGATTACACTCATCATGAGAAGTTGGTGCATTTCATAACACAGCCTAATTCTTTTTATGTTCCCTTTCTTCACCTCCTTCTCCTCTCCCTCCATCTCTTGGTCCTTTTCCCATTTATAACAAATTATTTTTAGCCACATCATATCTTCAAAACTGTTTATGTGTAGAAAACCCAGGGAATAAAGTGAACTGTTCATTGTGGACGGCCTTAAGTTACATTACGGCCGTAGAAAATACAGGAGGCAGAGGATGACTGAAAGGACTAATGCAACATTAGATTCAGATCTGTAGCTCCTGTAGCTACTTCAAACATGGTTTCAGAAAGTAAACCCACCATTTTCAGTAACCATGGAAACGGTTAAAATAAAATTTTGCCATGAAAGCTTTTAGAGAGAAGGCGAAAGATCAGAGAATTGGCCACTGAATATAGTCTTCAAATCTATTACTTTTGTATGGTGCAGTCAGATTACAGCTATTGATTCTAGAGAGGCTCCCTAATTCATCTTTTCCTCTTGCCTGGCCTTGTATCATCACACGGCATAGTTTGAATCCTTGTATTAATAATCTATACCAACTGCTATTCTAAAATTTCCCTTTTGTATACAGGCCACGAATTGACATGATACATAGTCACAAAATGTTTCCCAATAGCCAGTCCAGAAGATTCCTGTGTAGTGTGAGCTTGTTTCTTTAATACCCACCACATTCTTCCATAAGTACCTAGACTTCCACCTCATTCGCCTCTTCATGTTTTCTCCCACCAGCACCAAGTTGGGGACCAGGACTTTCACACGTGGGCCTTAGGGGACCTTCAACATCCAAACTACAGCAGTAGCTCTGGTGGTTTGCAAGATAATTTATATGGTATAGAAAGAGGCCTGGCATTAAGTAATACTGAGTCACACAATGAAAAGGTAATGCCTTCTGAATTATCCTCAGTCCTTCTGATTCTACTTAGGAGAGTTGGTCTCATGCTAGTAAGTCTTTAATGCCCCTGTCATACTTACCAATATCCCTGTTCAACACATAAAGAGCAGGTGTCAGAATCAGAGCCTTCATCATGCAAACAAACATACCTAGTGAACATTTAAGGTGCCTCCACTAAGGAGTACTGTTTTCTGACTGCCTGGTGTAAAGATGAATGTAATCCTCAACTCTGAAGGTGAAAAGTAATGGGCTTTATAAGATGGAGACTAATGAGAGGTCATGAGGTCACTGGAGGTGTGTCCTTGAAAGGACATGTGGGACCCCAGCCTCTCTGGTTTCCTGTATCTAGATCTGATCTTTTCTTCCCACTTGCTCTCTAGCTTGTGATGCTGTGTGCCATCTGGTCCCCACCAGAGCCGAGCTAATCCTGACGCCATATCCTTGAATCTTGAGCATATTTTTCCTTTGTAAATGTAGCCTGCTTTGGGATTTCAGTATAGTAAGGAAAACCAAACAAATATAGTCATCAATAGACTTTTTATAAGGAAAGAAGTCGAACACATCCAAACATAGCAAGTACATATTGTAAAGAACAGTCCAGTACAATTCTTAGGAGCCCCTGGTGTTGGCCAGACTTTCTCCCCTTTGTTTAGCCAACGTGGATCTCTGTCTACCAGAGAATACTATAAATTTTAAATAGTCTTTATATTTGAGGGGATACAGTAAATCATTCCTGAGTCTGCTTCCAGCTCTCTGTAACTGTCATTATACCACTAGGTGTTATGTCTGCTGACATTATTGCTTATTCTTATTTAGATCATAATATGGTGCAGGAAATAACAGTACATTTTGTTTTTTACTGTAAAGAATGTTTATTTGAGGCCCAGCTGAAAAATAGTTGTGATCTGTTGGGAAACAATGTGTGTGATCTTCAATCATGTACTACCAAAGTATTATTGATTCAAAGATTATTCAACTCTGCTATCTTTCTAAAATATGATTCAGATGCAGAAAAAAGAGCTTGGGTTTGGAAGCAGATACAAAACAGAACTGGTTTTGAGTCCTCCTTGTAGATGTAGTAGTTTTGTGACCTTGGGTTAAATGATTGTCTCATTTGCAAAACAGAGTTACTTTATACTCACTTCAAATGCTATTTGGAAGATTATATCATCTCAGCTAATATTTATTGGGTACCTGTTCTGCATCAGTCTTTTCTGAATGCTGTAGATGCAATAGTGAACAAAGCAATGTGGCTTCTCTTATGCAACTGGTGGTTTTAAATGAAATTGACTTTCTGCTCTGTGTTGTTTTGCTGTTTTTGTTTCTTTGCTTTTCATGGTTTTTGTTGTGGTAGTCATTACTGTTTTTGCAACACTGCGGATTGAACCTAAGGCATTTACACTGAGCTGTATCTCCAGTCTTTTTTTACTTTTTATTTAGTGATAGGGTCTTGCTAAGTCACTAACTTGCCCAGGCTAGGCTCACATTCGCAATCCTCCTGCCTCATCCTCCCAGAGTGCTGTATCACATGTATGTGTCACCACACATGGCTTCTCCCCTTTCTTCAGTCGTGCAGGAAGTGTCACCTGGAGGTGGATTGGAATTGGAGTCTCATATCTGTACTTCTAAAACAATTATCCCTCTTGGTGCTACAGGTTTTCAGTTATAACTAAGCTGCTAAGGATTACTTAGGACCACAGAAATTCTGTGTGGCAGGACCACACAGAAATTTACATTGTTTTTTAGTCCATAGAATTGTAATTTTATGTGGGACAACATTTATATTTTCAATAACAATTTGGCACTGTATTTACTTCCATTCATGTGTACTATTTATAAGTAAACATAATTTGCATTGCAAATATTAGAAGTGGAGTTACTTTTTCATTCTCTATGCTTCTGTTCTTTCATGTAGAAAAATTCTGAATGATAAGCTGTTACTTTGCTACAGGAAAACTTTCCCCTGAGATTTGCCAGTGGCCAAACTTGCACAGGTGCAATTCATTACAAATAAATTTCTTGTCAGTGGTTTCTTGTCAGAGAAGAGAAAAGTTGTTTATTTTTACTGTTGATGAGGCCATGGCTGAAGTGATCTAGAAAGATACTCCTTTTTTTCAGATAGATTTTCTGTCTGGCATTATCAAAGTACCTTACAGCCCTTCAGGTATGACAGTGATTATAGCAGGTAGGCCAGGCAAAACAATAATAGCTAAGTAATTAAGCACAGTCAGACTGGCTATTGGAGCTAATGTAAATTCACAGAAAAAATGACCTATTTCTTACTACTGAGTCAAAAGTAACACCGTTGTTGTTGATAACCCACACAGGCCATCAGGGTTAGCTTTATCTTGCATGTAAAGGTTTGATTTGCAGGTATATTTTCCTATATAAGATTTGATAAGACATGACCTAGTCATGTATTTCAATTTTACTTTGTAAAACTGTTATTGGCATCTCAAATGGTCGGTGAAATTCCAAGCCAGTGTCATCTGAGGTAAGTAAATATAAGAAAAACCAATAGAATCAATTTTTAGAATGCATTCTCTCTCTCTGTATTATACACATGGGCATCTGACATGGCTCCCTACAGAGCTAATTATACTGTTTTAAAATAATAATAATAATAAAGAAGATAAAAGATGAAGAGATATAAAGCTACCCAACTGTGGAATCACTCACCTGACATTCTTGGAATGCCACACTCTAATTACTAATGAACTGACATTCAGCACGGTTACCTAGAGAATGTTAAAGTGAAGAATGTCAAAGTGAAGGATGTCCGCCATCTTAATATTTCTTAAAAACCACATCTCTCCTTTTCTCTATGAATATAAACAATAAGTTGTTTCAAAGATGTTCTCCTTAATATCCTCAGCATGTCTTTTACCTATCAGCACTAACCTGACACCTGCTTCCATTTTGCTAAGTACTTACTAGAATTTGAAAATCACAGCATTCAATTTCCTACCTTTTTCCTGAATATAGAATCCATACAGCAAGAGCAAGAGCAAGACGAAGATTCTTTCATGGCTGTTCAGGAAATACTAAGTGAAATTTAGACCTGCTGATGAGTCCATTTTTAGCTCTGACATCTTTATACTCTTGAGAATGTCCCCAGAGTTAGATGGTAAATATATATTCTGTCCCAGATTGATCTAAGAAGCTCCTGGGCCCTTATATCTATCCACCGAGTGTCGATAACAAGGGTACTTGTATCTTTGAGGAATCTAAGAAGATGACTTTCCTTTCTTCTTACCTTCAAAGTTGGATGCGCTGAATCGCTATCCTGGTCCACAGTGTTAGTATGTACAGTAGCCCCTGGATCAGAAAAACAAAGGAAATGTTCCACCCAGTTTCTTGTGAATCTACCTTCAGACATCGTATCTAAATCCATGCACTGCTGTGCGACCTGGCGCAACCTTCCTGGAAGTGAATTCAACATTGTTTACCAGCTTGATACTGGTCCACAAGTAATGTGGCAGTGGTGTTGATAGCCTTGGACTCTTCAGAGCCTTTGACTGTACAGAAGTAATTTAACATTCAGGCAAAAAGTTCTATAAAAGATGCTCATTATGACATTTCTTTTAAATAAACATTAAAAACCCTTTATTATTTAATCCTAAGAACAGAAATTTACTCAATAAATGTTAGTGTACTACATAATAGAGTTTTAGGCAGCTGTGAGCAGGGCTGATGTTCCAGAAGAATTTCTAAGGTGACATATCAAAAATCCTCATGCTAGGAAGTTGTAATAAAAATCTAAAACAACCTTGCACATGCAGTATGATCTTAATTATGTGTAATATGAAGAAGGAAAGAGAAAGAGCATGGATAGCAAAACATGAGCTGTGGTTATTTTTGTTCCCTTTGTTTCAATTGCTTTTGGTATCCATCCTTTTATGTTTTGAAATTTCTCTCTATGGACATCAAGTAAAATAAAATTTCAGAATTAAAGGTGCAGAAGAAAATTACCCAGGCAGCGATTGCTGCAGTATGTGTGTTGGTGTCCATTCTCCTTTTTTGGCAAGCCATGGACTGCTTTCGGCTGTGGCTCTTTCCTGGGAATTTCACTGCTCATTCTCCTACCGGAGAAAAAAACAACTATAGAAAGGCAAGATAAGAATCTATGTCACCTGGTCTCTGTTCTTTTTCAGCACACAACGGTTCTGCCCTTTATATTAATCGAGATGAGAACATCACACCATCAGTATCCCAGCAGGAGCAGCGGACTTGCCGCCATATGCACCTTCTCTGTGGGCTATATATTATGGTAAGGACCACGCCTGCTGGGTTTTCGTATAGTATTGGATTTTTCACTGCTAAATTTGGGCACAGATTGCATTATGGATATAATCACTAACAGATTCACACTGCGTGCTTCATTTGGTCCAAGACCTGGGCTTTGTCTCGTTTCCCCAGATGCTTATATTTTTAGAAAGTATATGCCAAACCTCACACAGCAGGAATTTGTTGAACAATCCCATGTAAGCAGTGGTTCTTCCAAGGCTACATTTTTCAACTCTTTTTCAAACTAAATGTTTTCCTTGGACACTAGTTTTACAGCTTTAGGGCTTTTTGCTTAAGATTTTTTGTTTTTGTTGTTGTTGTTGTTGCTTTTGTTGGGGTGGATGGGGGAGTTGCAACAAACACAAATGAAAACAGAATAAATGACCTCTTAGAGCAATGAACTTCATAGGAAGTGAAAATGTACATTTTTAAAAATGCATTTCAGACCTATTCCATAATTGGCTGTTACATATAGAATGCCTTTTACTGCCTTGTTTTTTAATATTGGGTAAGTAAACCGTAAGACATCTCCATGTGGTCTGTGGGCACAGCGGAGCCCCAAGAATGAGTTGCCAGATTTACCTGATAAGAGTTTTTGCCCGGCAAGTTGACTTCACATTAATTTCATTTTTTATTACGCTTTAACGCTTCAGAAGTTCTTTATCTTAACATAGAGGATTTTTTATTTCTCTTTCAAATTCCAAGTCCTGTTTGATATATGAGCACACATAAATGAGGTCCTTCCCGCCAGCATTTCTCCCTTGGGGACTCTCTTCTCCTGAGTTCTGGGTCACCATCGCCTCCTTTAAGCCTGAAGGACTGGATAATGTTCTTCTAAACACCCCGCAGCTATGGTTAATCCCTCCAAAAGCCTAGAGCTCTTTGGGAGGCGCTGTCTGGATGGCCAGCCTAGAAATATAAAATAAAGTACAGTCAGTACAGGACTTCACATACTTTGCATAAACAATCACATAATGCCCCAGATCAGAGCAGAAAGAGCATCTGCTTCCAGGAAGCCACACCACATGGCTGGATCTAAGGGACATCCAGATGACAGACCCTAGAATAAGTGTGTGGTGAGGTTCATTTCATCTGCCACTCTGTCAGCTAGTGAGAGATTGTGTTGATTGGGGAAGAGTTTATTTTCCTCATCACTTTCGAGGGATTTCACATACACACACACACCCCTAAAATCTTAAGTATTGACTTTCTCTGATTAAAAAAAAAAAAAGTACAATTGATTAGGACTCGTGGGTGAACTGTGTCTAATATTATGTCGTGAAATGTATTAATGTGTTTTATAGTTGTGTACTTGATAATCAGTGCCTGTTACCTTTCAGAAGAATTAAGTAAGGAAGTCACTGGAACTACCTTTAGATTAACTCAAAAATCAACGTCTCATCCCCCTGCCATTTCACCCCCAAATACAGGCTCATCACCCTGCACTCGCATTTGCTTACCTATGGGACAGAGAAGTTTTCTCTGGGAACCGTGGTATATTTCTGAGAATTCATTTACTATGCTATTAAATTATCTTGTAGAGCCCCAGAGGTTTCAGGAAATATGCTTTCTGATGGCTTTCCCTCCACTGTGCGTACAATCACTCCACGTTCCAAAGAGACACATGGGAAATACCACATAGTCCTCATTAGGGACCCCCCAGGATCCCTCATTAAAATGAAGCATTACTCACGCTCTCCATGCCGAAGGAGGCTTGCCAGGTCCGTGTACTCCCTGAGCAAACCAGTACTTGTTTGGACATGTATTTGCTTTAACCAGTGAATTCCCTCACACGTATTCTGAGCAAACTTTCAGAGTCAGCGTTTCCTTTGGTGTTCTGCCCTAGGCATTCGCGGATATGCCAAGACCTAAACAATGCTGGTCAAGACATGTCACATTATATAAATGCAAGGATTCAGTTGTTATCAACATGATACTGGCTTTTGCTCCACTCCGGACTATCTCAGGGCCAACATACCAGTGACACAACAGAGAGAGGTTCAGGATGTAAAATCTTTTGACAGCATACCAGTGTTGTAACTGGACATTCCAGACTGCATGCCAAGACGGAAGAAAGCTTTCTTCTTATCGTTTGCTAATTACAGAATAAATAGATCTCCTTTACAGTACTGAGTGTGGTTGAGCTGACTCTGTACCTCAGGGCTGCTGGCCAGGCTGTCTGCTTTTCTTGAGTTCTGGCTTTTCGGTCTCACAAGTCTCCCTCCTCACTCGAATCTTCTCTCCCTGGGATCGGGTGGTGAGAGGTGAGGAGACAAGGGAAGGACACCTGTGCTGACCTTCCTGGACTGGCATCACTGAGCTCCCACCTTTCGAGCCAAGCCCCCCGGCCTCCTCAAGCTTAGCATCCAAAGGCTCCCCAGACTCATCTCATGACCACATCTGCCTGCCACGCATGTCTCCCTCTCCACCTGCCCAAATGTTCGGGACACATTCTCACATCCTTTTCTAGGAAGCTCCTGATTCTTTCCGTTACCTCTCAAACATTTCTGTGCAGCCTGCGAATTTTTTAAGAACTTGCTCTAATGAATGAGAGGACCCATATTATCTTATGCTGAATATGAAGTAAAGGCCACTTAACGTAACAGTGATTACAGGGGTCACAATGAGTACCATTCTTTGAGGTAGACGCTGTGCCAAATGCTTTTCCGATAGGATCTCGTTTCATCTGCCCCCGCCCCAGCAGCCCTTTGAGATCAGCGTCTCTCGCCTGTTTCACGGAGAAAGAAGCTAACACCCAGAGGTTGGATGTCTTGCCCAGGGTAAGCCACTGGGCTACTGCCAGAACTTCAGGACAAGCCCAGGTGTGACTCAGAGACTGCACCATTCACCTCGCCCTCCACTGACTTCGCTTCTGTGAACTCTGGACAAAAGCTGCCCATGAACTTTTGGTTTTGTTTGGTTTTAAAGAAATACACCAGAAGCAGTAAGTCTAGGACCCAAGCCCATTTCCTGGGTTGGAATCTGGTCTCTTCCATTCCTCTTTTGTGGGTTGTAGTTACTCAGATGTGAAATAGAGAGGAGGAAAAGTCCGTACCTCACAGGACCTCTGAGCAAACCCGGAAAATGCTGACAGTAAAATATTTCCTAATTTGCTATTGCCAGTTCTGAGGCATTTCTCAACAAGTAATAATAGAGCACCTAATGTTTTCTTGCTAAATGTTTGAGAATTTGACTTATGACATCATAAGGTCTTTCTCTTTTACCAATTCCATTCATTCATACACTTTTGACTTTAAAAACCAAAATTCTGAAGGATATGAAAATAACATTTTTTATTGCCTCAGGGAATAGATAGTTTTGGATAAGCTCCATAATCTAAATCTCAGTATCGCAAATGTATTCACTGAATAACTTTCCAACATAGAAAAGTAAAATCAGAATTAAGTGTGGTCTTTCTTTGGTGATGCAATTCTAAATCACCTCAGCAAAATTTTATCTCTCACCAAACTTAATTATTTCTCAGCCATGGAACTGTGGGTGATTTTTCATTTTCTTATCAAAATAATTCTGTATTCTCCACTTTCCTCATCTTTAAAAACAGAGAAATTTTCTCAAAAACAAAGAGTGTACTCAAATCTAAAACTCCTAGAAATTTTAATTATAAAAGTGAAAGTGAAATTCAAGACCATATTAAAGTCCTCCCATTTAGAAGTAACCCTGGAGATAGATGAAGAGGCGTGGACCCCACTAGTATGTTTTGGGCTAAATCAGCTTCTTAGATTTGCGTCTGTTCAGAAAAAAGCCTAGCTATACAACCCATTTTAATTTCCAGTATTTATTTTTCAGTAATAGAGATGCTGGTGGTAGGATTCTGGATATATTATTAAAGGTCTAATCAATAAGACTTCTGAAACCAAATCTATAAAATCCAGATTTTAATAATTTTATATTTAGTAATTTTTAACCATGGTGTAGAAGGCAGACTAATACCCACCCCTAAAGACAAGTCACATCTGAATCCCAAGAGCCTGTGAACAGGTCACCTTACTGACATATTTCGGGTAGCCTGCATTATCCAGGTAGAGCCCAACTACTCTCACATGAGCCCTTAGAAGTGGAGAGATCTGTCTCGGAGAAACACACGACTACACAAAATAAATGAAAGACGCATCATAAAAAGGACTCAACCCTTCACCGCTGGCTTTCAAGGCAGAAGAAAGGGACCTTAACTGGTGCTCACTGACTATCAACGATTTCTAGAAAACGGAAAAGGCAAAGAGACACAGTGTCCTCTAGAGCTCCAGAGAAAAGACAGCCCTGCTGCAATTTGATTTTAGTGCAGAGAGATTTGTGTTAGACTTTTAACCTGCAGAATTGCAGGGTCCATTTGGGTTGTTTTAAACCTTGACATTTGAGGTAATGTGTTACAGAAGCGACAGAAAACCAATGCACTGGAGCAAATCAATCTCTGTGGCTCTTAGTTTCCCCACCTAAAAAAAAAAGTCAAGAGACTTACCAGGCAGGATTTCTGTGAAAATCACAAAAACGGATATTTAATGTCCAACACATAATCTGTACTCTTCACAGTGGCCACGATTGTCCTGTGTTCTAGGAAAACTCGTTCACTGGGGAGCCTCAGCTTTGGAGGTTTCAGCAGGTTTCGTCACTCTAACCTGTCAGGCTTACTCTGGGCGGAAGTGCTGAGCTTTGCATTCAGGTGCTCCTGAGTAAACTGCTTATCCTCATTCAACCTCATTTTTGCCACATGTCAACTGGGAAGGAAAGGAAAGGAAAGCACCGCTCGGAAATGATGAGCACAAAGGAATGCTCAGAAATTAAGTTTCTTTGCTCCTTTAAGGCAGCCAAGATGCTGAAGGTCTGTAGTCTCTGTGAGAAAGGCCCATTCTCTCTTTCTCTCCCCTTCCCCTCTCTTTCTCTCCCTTTCCTCTTTCTCTCTCCCTCTGTCTCTCCCTCTCTCCCTCTCTCTTTGTCTGTCTTCTCTTCCTCACCAACCTAATTTACTTTCATTCTATCCTCCCTCTGCTCTCCCTCTTACAGGTTTTGATCCTGCTTCATGGGATATGTGCCTTCTTGCAATCTCTTAAGAATGCTAAAGAGTTTTCTGGAATTTTCTTATGGTTCATATATTAAGTTATTTCTGGAGCTCTGCTTTCCCTCTGAGAATTGAGAATGTCACTGCTTTCCCATTATTCCAATGTGCTTGTTTTTCAAGTACTTCTTTGAGGGTGTGGTGATTTCTTCTAACAAGAAGTCTGTCTGGACATTTGGGAGCTTGACAGCTGATGATGTGGCTTGCAGTCAGCCCGTCAGACTCAGCACTGGGGTTCTCAGATTGGCATCTGCACAAAAGAAGCCTAGATATATAACTCCTCTCATGAAAAGAAATTTTCAGTACTTATTATTCAGAATTTCATCTCCTATCTTTGAGAGCAGGTTCTCAGACATTCCAGGAGTACCTCATATGCTATGAATGTTGCCCCACCTCAAAATCATTTTATATGCAGTTACAATTCTTCATCCATCCCCCAGATTTCCTACAACCATGCCAACACCATTCCTTCTTTTTCTTCCAGTCTTTCAGAATCAACAAGTAGGTGCTGCTTGTTGCCTTGATGCTACGTGGTGATTTTCCCATGTGGATATCTGTCTGCTTCCCGCCACCTTCACCTCACTATCCCCAGTCCCTCAACAGATGGACCAGCTGTTTATCTCAGAGAGAAAACCAAAGATTTGAAACCTTAACTCCTTTGAGGTCCTCCTGCAAGCATCCATTCTGCACCCATCATCCTCTGGCCTGGGAAACGAGTTTCTACCCCTTTTGATGGGCACTCCTCCCTCTGTCCTCTGCCTCACCCCTTCCTGTTTTTCTGGACCTCGTCCTTTAATCATCACTTTATTGTTGTGTAACTTCCAACTCACTCCTGGATCCTTCCAATCAATATCTGAACACACTGTGGTCCTCATCTACACCTTACAAAATCTGCTGTCCTAAGACCACCCTCTTAGACATCCCCCTACTGCTTCATCTCCCTACTCACAGCCAGGTTTCCCCAAAGAGTTTTCTGCCGTCTACACTCTCACACATTTAAGAGACAGGATGATCTGGTGGTGGAGAGAATGGATTCATTAGCCAGACTGCCTGAGTTTAAATTCTGCTTCTGCCGTGTGGCCTTGGGCAAGTCACTTAACCTCTTTGTGCCTTAATTTCTTCATGTATGGTACTGGATAATAATAGTGCACACTTGTCTTAGTTACTTTTCTCTTGTTGCTGGGACAAAATATCCAACACCCGAAGTTAAAGGGGGAAAGGTTTATTTAGCTCACAGTTGGTAGAGGTTCAGTCCATAATCACCTGGCTCCAAGGCAGGATGGCTTAGCAGAGGGACATCACAGAGTAGAACCAGTTCATGGAGGCAGAAGACAGCAAAAACAAACCAGGGAAGAAGAAGGGACAAGCCTCTTTCTCTCCCTTATATTGTATCCAGTCTACCAGGATTAGGGCAGTGCCAGTATGGTCAGTGGACTGATCCAGCAATCATTCACCCCTAATCCCAGCACCTTTACTCCTAGCATTGCATCATGAATCAATCACACACTCTGTGTTCAACCACCTATGAAAAAGCCCTGTGACCACATGTGGCTTTGGGAGGACATCTGGACACAAACCATAACACTACCTCCAAAGTCACTGTGGTCATTAGAATGTTAATCTTCAGAATGTGAGGCATGTGGGACAATATCCAGCATGGAGTATGTGCTGATATTACCGCTAGCCTTCTCAGGGAGGCTTATGCTTTCATTATGTTAGCAAAACCTCTGTCTGTGTCACCAGTGACTCCTATTTTGCTGCAATCATGGAATGCGTTGTAGGCCTCACTGATATTTTATCCCCACTTCCCAAAACACTCTGTTCCCCTAACTTGGGTGATAGAGCAATCTCCCTATTTCTCCCAAACCCGGTTCTCAGGATCATCCCCTTCAGTTTCATTTGCTGGCTCTTCTCCCTCCACACACATGATACTGGAATTCCAGCAGCCCTATCCCAGGTCCCCTCTGTAGCTACTTCTTCTGCTTGTGTCAGTCTGTCCCCTTCATGTTTGCCCAGAAACTCTCCTGGGCCTATTCCCTATCTGTCTGCCTAGCAGTAACTGAGCTCCCCATCCACTCCCAGACACGCACCCGACTAGCTGCACACCCCACCCAGCTATTCCCGCCAGAGAGCTATGAGACATCCTGTCCATCTCACCAGGGCCTGTGACAGGCAGCCTCTCCACAGTTTCTAGCTTCCACGATCTCCAAGGCTCTTTGTGAGTCTGTACACTTGGCTCTGTCTCCAGGGCCAGCATCACAGTCCAAGCTTCATTCCCCTCTCTCCTGGACCACTGCACAAAACTAGCATCCCGCACTGCCCCCGTCTATCCACAGGATCACTGAGTGGCCTTTTAAAGACTAGTAGAAGCCCAACACTCCTTTGCTTCAAGCATGTGGATGATTTCTTGTTGCATCTAGGGACTCAGTCCAGAGCTCCTTACGTGGCTCAGGGGGCCTTGCATTGTCTGATCCCTGCTGACCTCTCTGGCTTCATCATCCTCCTTTTCTGCTCTTGCTTACTAACCCAGCCTGATTATCAAGGGCATTAAGTTCCTCCCAACTTCAAAGATTTCACCTTCTCCGCACCACACCCAACCCACCTGTCCCCCACCATGGCCAGCTCCAAGGCATACTCATCTTCAGGCTCCAGTCTTACTCTCTCTTTCTCAGCTATCTCTTCTTCCCCACACTTGGCTCAGCCCCTCCTGAAGTATGATACTCTAATCTCCTGTTTATTTCTGCCAGGAGATTTCAAAACTAATTGCAGTCATGGAGTTTTGTTTATTTTTTTTTTCCAGTCTACCCCTTACTACCTAAAGCAAGAGAAAGATCTGCACCTGAAATGATCTTAAAGAAAATAGACAGCCTTCTTGCAGGTTCTCTCCTTACAAGGGGTTAATTATTTTTAGACATGATATCAAAAAGTCATTCACAAAATTTTAAGATAGATATTGAGTTCCAGCTATATTGTCTCTTCTTCTACCTGCTTGATGATTTTAAACTGCCCCCTGGGGCTGATGAACTTGCAGGAGAAACCTCACCGACTGCGCTCTTTGCCTGAGTATCAATAAAACCATTTCCAGTGAAGGGAAGTTTTATTTGTTAACAGAGTTATAGCCTTTGCATTTAGGGCTAGAGCACTTCAGAGGGGCAGAACTTGTTCTGTGGTGAGACGCACTGGAAAGGTTACGCGACCATCTCTGCAGCGGCCCTCGTACCGCCCAGTCTCACCCTCAGCAGATGGTTTCCAAGGCCAGCAACAACGAAGAGAGCAGTTCCAGCTGTTTGTGTCTCCCACAGCACTAAGCAGTGCTGGACTCCCCGAAGACACAAAAGAGAAAGGGATGAAAATAAGTGCACAATTCAGATGAGACTCCTGCGCCAGAGCTGGGCTTATACCCAAGAGCCCAAAGATCATTTGTTTGAGATGCGGGAAAATGGCAAGAAAAACATGGTCTAAAATAACAGTACAAAACTTTGACTTTATACATTTAAGTAGACCTGGTTTTCCCTAATAATATTCAAAGTAGGAGAAGCAATTTTCTGTTGAAGATATGGGGAGGAGAAATAGGTGGAACGCTGATAGCCCCAGGGAAGGTTCCCTCATCCGGACTTGCAGGGTCCTGAAAAGCCTCTGATTGTAGAAGAAGGAGTAGGCGATAGCCTTCTGGAGATCCAGGGTAAACCTGTCAAAAGCAGAAGGTGGCCTGGAGGCCAGAAAGAGGAAATTCCCCTCAGGAAACCGAAGTTCAGTCCACCTGGAGGGCCAGTGACAGTTGACCCTACTCTAATCACTACAGTATAAATTCTACCTCAACTCTTCCCACCACGCCTTTTAATTTAACTGTCTATGACGTTCTTCTTTAGCTGTGTTCTTTGGTGGCCCGTGGCTTGTTTTGTCCCCTTTCTCTGGGTGCCGCCGTGTTCTCTGTGGCTGCTTCTTCTTGGCAGATCCCTTTCCCCCACACACCTCCCTAACGCTCCACCCCTCAGCTTGGTTGCGCTGCGTCCCCATCTCTCAGCCAAAGATTTTGTTTTCAGCATGCCAATTTTACCACGCTGGTCCTCCCAGAAACTCTTCAATAGTTTGTTTTTACCAGCCTGAGCTTTGTGTTTTTATTTTTCATTTTTTTTTCTGTGTTTTGGTAGCACTTTTATTTTTCTTTGCACAATGACGCATCCTTGGCTGTGATAGTCTGACATGACAGTAGAAAAATAAAATGTGTAAGTCATCCTGGAAATCTGAGAATTGCATATAAAAACCTTACATAAATTAGGACGATGCATAAATTTGCAGGTACAAATACAAATCGTTCTGCAATGGTGGTGAGTAATCTGGCCCCATGATATTCTGCTGGATAAGAAAGGTGATAGAGCCGTAAAGCTTGGATTAGTTGTTTTCTAACTCTGCAGGAAGACTTCAGGAAAGAAGTGGCAATTCATTCATAAATTCTTGCCAGCCTCTGGAGAAGTCCAAGAATTGTCATTAGGATTCTGTTGAGATCTGTTCATTCCCCAGAGAAGTGAAGAGCTCAGAAGAAACTGTCAAGTCAGCCAGAGTCATCACACCAGGCCAACTCCCTTCCACGAACATGGAGCCCTGCATCTCCCAGAGCATGTGCCAAACTAACTGCAGTGAGATAAAGAATTTTAGAAACGTACTATAAGGAAATAGTTAATCTGAGTGCCGTGTGAGCTAGTGCTGTTTACCTATCAGACAGAGACAAGTGTCTTTTTAAAAAAGGCACATTCCCAGGGAATGAGTCTAGCAGAAGATACATACTTCAGCCAGCACACTTTTAATCTCTTCTTTTTAACATACTAACTGCTTCTTTATTTGTGATTTGGTAGGATTAGATGTACATCTAGGTTTTCTTTTATTTCATTTTTGAAACTTCTTTTTTTTGTTACCTTTTTCAAATGGGCGTGTCGGAGTTACTTTTCTTGTTGCAGAGACAAAATA